ATTCCCAACCGGGCAGCGGTAAACGATAAACCTTTTCCTCCTCCCCCTGGGTCTGGACGGGGGCGGTCCTAACCGATTGGAACGTACAAGATGGCCTCAGAGATAAGGCGCAAATCATTGATTTATAGTTGTGGGGCAATTTGGGCCTCATGGGGGGGCAAGACCCAAATATGTCCCGAAGCGCCCTCAAGAGAGCCCCACGAGGCCCCAAAGATGCCCCAGGAGGCCCCCCGATTCATCCAATACGTCCAAGAGGCCCCCCACGAGCCAGCAAAAGGCCCCCAAGACACCCAAATATGCCTTCACGAGGCCCTCAAGAGACATCCCAAGAGACCCCAAAAAACATCCAAAGGGCCTTTGGCCCAAACACAAGCCCCCGACATTTCCAAACGGTGCCACGCTCCCCCGTGCAGGGCATCTGCACCAGGAGCCATGTCTGGGTGAGCTGGTGGGTATTTTTTGTTCGCGAGCGCAAACGGAAGGGCCGCGCGCCGTCCAAACCTACAGCTGACAAGCAGGAGCTTAAATTGCACACGGGAGAAAGGGAAAGAGAGAGAGAACAAGAGAACAGCGGGAGGTGAGACTAGCTGGGGCGGGCCGCGCGGCGCTCACGAAAGGCTGGTGGGGATACTTTTTTGTTCGAAAGCGCAAGCGGAAGAGCCGCGCGCCGTCCGGGAATTGCTGAGTAGCAAAGACCTGAATTACTACGGATGGTGGGGATTCTTTTTTGGTCGGCGGCTCCGAGGCAACGGACAGGGAGCGGAAGCGGCGTCCGGGTCACGGTACGGAGCTATTTTGCAAACCTAGCCGCCAGAGTCGGCGGAGATGGTGGGGATACGCGAAGCGTTCAGATTCTGTCCTCGTCCCAGGCCTTCCTGACTTTCTCCGCTGAAGAAGGCCGGCCCCTACAAGCCACGAGCGGCGAACACATCCGCATCCGCGCCCTCGCGGTCTGGACTCCAGGGAGCGATCCCGCACACACGCAGTCCGCGCGTGGCGCCCGCGCACACAAGCGCCACGTGTCCGCGGGGTCGCGGCCTGAGGGCCCCGCCCACGAGACCGCGGGTACGGATGTGCCTGTCGCCCACGAGCAAGCTCCCCGCGGGGCTCCTGCACGATCTGCAGCAAAGTCTGGCATGCATCCAAATTCAGGCCGGCCTGCGGTGCGCGCGGTGCGCCGCGGGGCGCCGCAGCGCGCGCCGACCCTGTCCGCCCCGCCCCGGCGGGGCCCCGGCTGCGGCTGCTCCCCGCCTGCGCCGGCCGCCACCGCCAGAGGCCGCCGTGGCCGCCGCAGCCGCCGCCGCTGGTAAGAGGACGGTGAGGGTGAGGTGCTCTCACGGCTGCAGGTCGGCCACGCGGGCCGGGCGAGAGCGAAAGCAGAACGCGCAGAGAGAATCATGTTCCTCCGTGGTCAGGCTGTGATGCGCGGTGACGGTATTGGCAGCTTGTTTTTCGCACAGCTTCCAGCAATGCCTCTGGCGGACGTCAGACCTGACTTGGCCCGAATTGTGACGGATGCTTGCCCGTCAGGCTCCGTGGTAATTAGCCGCAAGCGCTTCGACGAAACTGTCATCAAATCGCACTGCAACAAAATACCGTGGCATACAGCCCAAAAGGAGAAGGGAGGAGGATGAGTCGAAGAGAGAGGACAAGAAGAAGGAGAGCGAATCAGAGAAACCCACAACATACTGCGAAGCATCCGCCCTTAGCCTACCACGTCCTGGCGTGGCTTTATGTGCCATGGTGGCCCACTCAGCCGCAATCCATGAACCAAGCATTGGACAAGGAAGAATCTCCGGAACTGGGGTCAGTAATGCGATGACAGAGAACCGTCCTGAGCAAGGCAGCAGCAGGAGGAACAAGAAGGACGACAAGGAAGAGGAAGGGAGGGGAAGGCCTTCGGTGCCACTTTCAGGGTGGCCCGCGACGGATGACTACGAGCGGCGCCGCCCACGGCGAGCCCAACTTCACTGATCAGCCAAATAGCAAGCTGTCTGATATAAAACACACATCTGGCAGCCCCACCCCCCCAGGAGCTCGGCCGGCCTGGAGACGCTGCTGCATCACGGAGCGGGCGAAGTCGCAGAACACAGCGGCGTCCTGGCCGCCGTTCCAGGCGGTGCGGCCGGGCTGGGAACTCTCTCGGTGGCGAGGCGCGCCGCGGCATGAGCGGCAAAGTCAGAGCCGCAGTTTGGATGCTCAGAACAGCCTGGGCTGGGAGCAGGCAAGAGCCACACCTGGCGGCGCGCGAAGGAGTGGGGCGAGGGGGTTGGCCATCTGAGAGGGCGTGGGGCTTGCCGGGAGAGCCTGGAGCCCCACGAGCGGGCTTCTCGACAAGCAGGCGGGCTTCCGAGAAACCCCCTGCCTCCTTCGAAAGCCGCCTCCTTGCGCCACCCGGCTCTGCGCGCTGCCGACACGTGTCCAGCACGACTGCGCGCCTCAACCCAGGACACCTAACTTTGCGCCCTGCTGATGGGCAACGAAAAAAGGGGACTGGCAAAAGGGACGATGCATCGACACGGAATCGGCGATGCATCGTCGATCGATTTGCGATAGGCCCCCGATAGCGAAACCGCAGGTTCCTGTGCGGGGTGGGGTCATCGGGCCCCTATCGGCAATGAATGGTCGATTGGGGGTCGATGCGTCCGCCCCTACGCCTATCCCTCCAGAGCGTTGCCCCTGATTTGCGCTGCGCGAAGCGTGTGTACCTTCGCGCCCTCGTGGCGCCGGCCCCTGGAAATACAACTTCTCTGGCACAGAACCGCGACGCGCGACTGTCTTCGCGCCACCCTGGGCGACCCTATCAACACATCGCGTCGTCAACTTCACCATTGGCACGGCCACCGTAACCATCAGTCTCGTTGGCTTAGCTGTTTTCGTTCTGCACTGTTTATACACTATCATGTCCAAAACATTCGCCACCACAACCACCGTGAACAACCTCATCCACCGCGCCCGACCCCTCACCGATCCTGACCCTGGCGGCCGTCACTATGCCTCTCTAGCCTAGGGAATCTAATATAGTCCCAGGCTGAGAAGCGGGACATGCGGACATGCTTAGCCGCTTAGCCGCTCCTAACAATGAGCGCCTAATGCGCGCCAGGCATCATTCCACCCAGGTTTGGGACCCGTTTCCGCGCGCACCAGGCGGCGAAGGCGATCGCCCGTTCCTCTTGCCCATCACATGAGAACGCGCGCAAGGTTTCGACCGTCGCGCAGAATGCTGCTCATAGGCTTGGCTTTTACGATCAGCGCTCCAAATCCGCGCCAGTTCTTGACGTGATTCGTGCTCGGGGCATTCTGCGTTGCAGCTGTATATCAAGATCGTGACATTACAATCTGCGCGAGCCGCCAAGTGTGTGACTGCTGCCAAACACAGCCCCGCGCGCGATTCAGTCTCTTGGCACGGCCTACGTTTCGGGAAAGTTCGCGCAAATCTGCGCTCGTTCTTCCGAGCGGGCTTTAGAACGCGACAATACCACGCATTGGACCCATAAAGAGCAATACTCAACGAAATTACACTTCTACGCGGGAGCATGGGCGAGGGGGGCGCACCCTTGCAGGGAGAGAAAGACATTGCTAGAGGCCGGTAAGCATCTCCTCGGGCCTCGACACTACTAGAGAAGAGCCTCATCAGTACCTTTCCAGGGATGGGCTGACGAGTTAGCCAGTCAGCTTCGTGCCAAGTGGGTCTGCGCTTGATGGCCACCGCTGCGAATGTCAGTGGGAGCGCCGAGCTCCATGGGTCACTTTCCGAACCCGACTGGCGAGATACGTAATCGGCCAACTACGTGCCGAACGCATGGCTCCGTTGTCGGCCAACGCTTTGAGGGGGCGACGCGTTCGGACGGCGAGAGCTGGCTTGATATTTGACTGCACAGGCAAGCGGCGCCAATAGAGCCTGGTATGGTCCGATCGGTTACAAAAGTGAGGCAAATTGGAATCGAAGAAGAGAAACCTACACAAGCATAGACTTTCGGAAGGTGCATGCAGATGTCTTGGATCTGTGTTGGACCCCCCTCTCTGGCGCGCGGAAGGCGCCAAGGGCTGCGCCGGAGGCGCCGCCAGGAAGGTCCGGCGCAGATTCACGAAATCCGTGCGGACCATCGAAACTGGATGTTTCTGCCGTTTCTCTCCTGCGAGTAAAGAACAAATAGATGGGGGAGGGGAGGGAAAACGAGCTTCACGTGGGGTTTCACGTGTGAGGCCCCCCGATCCTTGTCCACGGCGCCCGAAAGCGCCTGGACGTTGCCGCGCTCCCAGAACTCCTGGGCGCAAGGGGTGGGGGGTCGGCGGCAAGAGGCGGAGGGGAAAGGGGAGGTACACACGAGGCGAATTGCAGCGCGCAGGCCCTTCGTGCGCGCGTGCACGCAGGCAGCCGCAGTGCGCGTGGGGTGGGGAAACGAAACGGAGGAGGGAGTCGATGGGGGAGCCTCGAGGGTGCAGCGGGGAAGATGAGAGGAGGGAGGCGGGAGGAGGTGCGTGCCCCCCTACCTCCCGGTGTTTCGCCTCCACCTTCCCCACCCCGCCCCTCCTCCCGCCCTCCAGGCCCCGGTTCACCACCCGCCAAGCCGCAGATGCGACCAGCGCGTCGACGTCCACGAGCGATGGTTCCACGCCCGCCGGGCGTGACGTCGCCGTCCGAGCACGGCAATCTCGACCTCCACCGGTTGCAAGGCGAGTCTGGCGCCGCGGCCTCCTACCCAAACTCTTGCCCAGGGGAACAGCAAATACCGATGAGTACTGTTACTCCCGGGAATTTTCCTGGGGATGGCGTTCTGACCGATGGCGTTCTGACCAAAGGTTCGAAGAGATTCCAGCCGTGACGGCGAGGGAGCAGGGGTACGGGTTCCTCTTCCCCCTCGCTCTCTCCGCCCGCCCCCCCCTCTGAGACAATCGTAAAGAAGGTCAACAACAAAAGGGTCAGTGAGCAAGCGCAACGCAGCCGTGCGCTCCCAGGCTGCCCGAGGCGCCCGGAGCGACCACGGTGCATCGAGGAGCGCGCATGGCGGGCGTGGCCGAGACTGGGCTGCGTGCAATTCCCCCAAAAACTGGCCCCCGAAGACTAACCCAATATCAGTTAGCAGCTAGCATCGAATCGGGAACTCGGATCGAATCGGCCCCAAGATACACAACAACGATGTGCAAACATCGGGCCGCATCAGGTCATCGGGAGATCGGAATCGACATCGAACCGGGCCAGCCGGAATCGATATCGAATGGGATCGATCGGTTAGGAATGGACACTGCTGACCTCGAGAAGGAGGGGAGGAGTGGCGGTAAGCGGGCGTCCTTGAGCTTTCGAGCCTGCTCCTGTCGTCTCTGCAACACGCCCATCATCTGGGCGTGCTTCGAGGCAACCTCTGGGAGGTCGCCCTCCTCCTCCTCCTCCTCCTCCTCCTCCTCCTCCTCCTCCTCCTCCTCCTTCTCCTTTTTCTACACCTCCTCCTCCTCCTGCTCCTTCTCTTCTCGCCTCCGTCCTTCCTCTTCCTCCTTTTTCTTCCTCCTCCTCCTCCTCCTCCTCCTCTTTCTCCTCCCCCTCCCCTTCCCCTCCTCTCCTCTCCTCTTCCTCCTCCCCTCCTCCCCCTCCCCTCCCCCTCCCCTCCTCCCCCTCCTCCTCCTCCTCCTCCTCCCTCCTTCCTCCTCCTCCTCCCTCCTCCTCCTCCTCCGCCTCCTCCACCTCCTCCTCCTCCTCCTCCTCCTTCCTCCCCCTCCTCCCTCCTCCTCCTCCTCCTCCTCCTCATCCTCCCCCTCCTCCCAAGCAGGCGGCCGCGAGTCTTCCCCGCGCGGCCGACGCTCGTTGATCGGGAGCCGGCGCACTCCTCCACCGAACCTCAAACGGGATGGTTCCCCCGAGAGCGACGCGCAAAAGGCGGCCACGCCCGGGGGGAGAGGGTGCGTTGGCCACAGCCATACAATGGGCATGCCCGAGAGCGCCGCGGGGACCCGCACGACCCGGTAGCCAGTCGCGAGCACGGCCCGGCGCTCCAGGCCGCCACACAAGCCGCCGCCCCCCCCGGCGCTTCCTCCTCCTCCTCCTCCTGCTCCTGCTCCTCCTCCTGCTCCTCCTCCTTCTCCTCCTCCTCCTCCCGCCTCCTCCTCCTCCTCCTCCTCCTGCTCCTCCTCGTCCTCCTCCCACCTCCAGCCCTTCCCCTGGGAAGCCCCGGGGTCGCGAGGGAGGTGGGCCCGCCCAAGCAGGAAGGGGAAGCCCGCGATCAGCGTGAGTGGGGCGCGCGCCGAGCCTTCGAGACGGCGTGCACTCGACCTGCTGAGGCTGAGACCGACCGATGACCTCGTCCTCACACCCCATTCGGCCCTACAGTCGGACGTGATTGGAGAGAACACGCGAGAGGACACAAGACGCTTCCGAAGGCCACGTTGCAAATGGAATGCAGAAGACATGGGCCGGGAAATACAGGACACAAGGATACCCTGGACCTGGCAGGGTCGACCTATTAGGGCCGACTGTACACTGGGCATCTGAGGGCGCCTTGAAGACTGCACCCGGATCTGGACCTCCGCTGCACTCAGTCGCCACACGCGATGTGCAAGAGGTGCTGATCGCACCCCAAATGTCGGACGGAGCCTCGCGTTGCCGTTGGGCTTTGCCGGAGTGCTCTGTCCCTGCTATTGCTAGCAGCTGCTCTGACATGAAGATTGAAAACTTCTCGGATGGAATCTCGAATCATCCGCTGTGAACCTGAAACACATATGAGAAAAAAAGACTTGGGGGAAAACCGTGTAAGATCATTCTGTCACGCGTTGGCTCTGAAAGTAGAGGACTCATCAAATCATCTCGTCGATCGCGAAGCAATCGCCAGCAAGTGTGTTGAATCGGGACACACCCGTCGAACTCGGTACGTTCAACATTACTGCACCACTGTTTCTTCCCCATATTACGGCACGTCGCACAGAACTGCGGCATGTCAGCCTCAACAACAACTTGCCTAGAACGAACGGGCATATGATTCTGGACTGTATTACCAGAGCCTAAGACGCCCTTAGATTAGAACATTGTCATACGACCCCCGCGTGCTCACACAACGTATTCTGGTGCTGCCACGGGCAGACCAGGGTGCCTCGGACCTGCTTGAGTTATACAGGTGAGTGAAACCCATGGTTTGCAAACGACGGTATAGTCTACAAAAATCATACCAAACCTGCGCACGGGACGCAACCCCTTGGGTCCTCGGCCCATGCCTTGGGCTCCGTCGGTTGTTGTTGCAATGTCAAACGGACGACCGGCTGGACTCAGGCCGCCCAGAGGATGAGGATATTCATCTCCCGAGCTCCGGGGACTGTCAACAGGACGTTCTCATCCCCCCTCCCTCCTCCTTCAACTACCCTCTCGTCCCTATCTTGCCCCGCCCCCTGTTGCCGCCTTCCAGAAGCTGGACTGCATCTTGCACGCCCTGCGCGTATGCCGCGCCAGGCCGCCTACCGATCCCTGGCTGCGCTCGCGCACACGCGTGCCCAGGCCAGCTGACGTTGTGTCTCGCGCTGGGAGAAGCCCGATCGATCTCTAGAGAGCCTGGCCTGGAATCCCCGTGCGCCGCGTGGGGAACTCTGGACAGGCAGAGTCCATGTCCGATTCGCTATTTAATTGGAGAAGCCTGGTCGCCGCGGACTGTACTGCGCCCCACCTCCCTGAACAGCCGACGACGTGACTGTTTCCATCGTAATTGGAGAAGCCTGGTCGCCGCGGACTGTACTGCGCCCCACCTCCCTGAACAGCCGACGACGTGACTGTTTCCATCGAAGCCCCAGCGCTCCCGACCTCTCCCCAGAGCGGCTACAGTCGGACCTAGGTCAGAAGAACATCCCTCAAGAGCATGAGACTCTCCGCCGACCCAAACACACACACACACACAACATCCAAGGGTACCCTCCCCAGGATGCACAAAAACGTCCAACAAGCACGAAGAACACGAGGCTATCGTCCCCGAACTGACCTCGATGTTATATGTCGGTCCGACCGCATCGCACAGCGGATCCATTCCCAGGGTTGCCCCCGAGCCCGAAGAACGGCGCCAGGAGGCAGCGACGTGGGGGGAGGAGGGCCAAAGGCTGCACACGTCCATCCCTCTGCTTTTCTGGGTCTCGCGCCACATACCGCCCTGTACCCCCCCCCACTCGCCGCTCCCGTGAGTGGGCGGCGCGCGGCTGCTGCCAGCAGAGTGCAGCAGGGGAGGGCCGCTGCACCTGGCTCAGGCCCTCCACCGCGGCCTCGGGCGGAGGAGGCGGCGGAGAAGGGGGGCTCAGGAGCAGGGGCGGGAAGAGGAGGAAAGGGAGGAAAGGGAGGCGGAGGCCGAGGCGGGAGGAGAAGGATAACAGGAGGAGGAAGACCGATGCAAACCCACGACGAATCAACGATGTTGCAATCAACGTTCCCTCCAAATTCCCTTTTGATATTGTAGATCCATGGTGGAAAATGCCCCCATTGGAAGACAACCGTGTGAAACTCCTAAATCGAGTCAAAACAATTCATCGGATTTCGCCGCCGCAAACATGCTCAACCATTACGTCCTGACAAACTTAAAACGGGTCAAAAGGCAACTTTTCGAACTTCCTCACAGCGAATCCACGTGATTGTTGCGTCCTCACAAGCCAAGCTCGCGCCAACAAACAAACACGTGGCACGTTTACCATACGAATCCAGAAACAGCTGCGAACGCTTGAAGCGAATGCGCGCGGCGCTCAGGCGAGAGCCACACTTTGAAAAAGAACTTGCATCCAAAATTGAATATGTTAAAAATTTAAACACGACTGGACCACGTGGATATCGTCTGTCGTGCCCCGTCCTCGGCAAAAACGAAAGTGATTAGCAACAAGCCGGTCTTCTACCCCAGCGCCCTGTAGCCACCGCAATACTAAACTTGCCACCCCTTTGTACATCGTACTCATCAACGATTGCCGCCAAACTTGCGGAGCTGATTCTTCTAGCCAGCATGCGCGCAAACTAATACAGCACGAACGCCTGGCGTGCACAACCGCGATAAATCTTCTTAGAGTCCCCCCAAAATAGGAATGACTAACTATTTTTCGGCGGCCTTATTGAAGGACTGGGGTTCCACCAATAGGGGGGTTGTTTCCGCGTCGCCCGCCGCGCAAAACGACGACGACGGCTACGACTACGACTGCTAGGAGAAGGAGGAGGGGGAAAGTGGGGAGGAGGAGGAAAAGAATTTAGGACCAGTCCCATTCACCGCCAAATCAATAATAGGGGGATCTAAACTAAAGACTTTCCGAAAGCAGGAAAAACAGAGCAGCAGGAAGGAACAACAACAGAAAAGACCAACGGGAAGGAGCGCGGACAGCAAGCCCCACGCGAGCCTCCCGCCGTCGCGCATGGCCTCGTGCACAGACCTGGCCCACAATCCAATCAACATATGTATTGCTTCCGCGCAAATCCACAGGACGAAACCAAGACGAGGATAACATCGGGTGAAGATAAATCGAAAATCTCTGACATCCCGCGGCTCTGGATAATGTCTCGGGCGTCGCGGCCGTTTCAGAGCCCTCTGGAACGCTCTGAGAGCGTTCCGGAACGCTTTGAAGCGCATTTATCCTCATCCTAAGTAGCCCCGTCCGAGTCCAGTATTGCCTGTGAGACGGCGTACATGGTTAACACGAAGGTGCAATATGTACGTCGCCCCGGCCTGCAAACGAAGCGCCGTGCCGTCCATGGCCGCTGCAAGCATGAAGCGCTCCAGGTCGTGCCCCACGACCGCGTCCAAAAACGGGAGCATAGCCAAGAACGCCGCATTGGACAGTTGATGTAATTCTCAACTGCGTCATCAGCCACATCGCAACACTGAAATATACATCAACAGCGGGCCCGTCGAAAGAGCGACGGTCTGCCGTCCGTCGTCTATCTCTTGAATATGGTGTTCAGGGTGCTCGCCCACGGCACTGGTGGCACCAGCTTGCATAGTTAGGCGGCCAAGCTGAGTGGCTACGGTAGGTTCCAACGTTGCGGCCAGCGCCGCAGGCGCCATTCAAGACTGAAGCCGTCTCTCGCCTGCAGACGGCCGACGAACCGTCGCTGCGTCCTTTTTTTCTTCCAAAGAAAGACGGCGAGGCGAGGGAAGGAGTCCGAGTGGGAGAGCGGAGGGGTGCGGGGACAGTGGAGGCGCACCGGAGCAGAAGGGATCCGAGGGGGGGGGCGGGTGGGCCTCCGTGGCCGACGAAGACGACCTCGTGGGCTCCATGTGAAAGTGGTGCGCGGGCCCGGCCTCGTTGCAAGAAGGGGGCAGCAAGGGGAGGGGTGAGGGAGGACAAGGGGAGGATACGCAGGCGGCCCCCTTCCTTTCGTATATATATATATATATACATATATGCTCGCCCCCCCCCTGTGATCATACATTTTGTTTTTTTTCGTCGGCTTCGTCGTCGTCGTCGTCGTCGTCGTCGTCGTCCTCGTCGTCGTCGTCGTCCTCCTCCTCCTCCTCCTTCTCCTCATTCCCCCCCCCCATCATCCCCCCTCATCCTTTCTCCTCCTTCTTCTTCCATTATTCTCTTTATTGTCTTCCATCTACTCCTCCTCCTCCTCCTTCTCCTCCTCCTCCTCCTCCTTCCCCTCCCTCTCCTCCTGCCCCTCTCCCTCCTCCTCCTCATCCTCCTTCTCCCCCTGTGCCTCCTCCCGTTCCTCCTCTTCCTCCTCCTCCTCCTCTCCTTTCCCATCTTCTCCGTTCGCCTTGTCTTCGCTACTTCCCACTTCTTTCTTTGTCAGCCCTCCCCCTCGTATGCTGCCCACTCTCCGTCCGCATCGGTGTCGTTCCTTCCCGCTGCATTTCTTTCTATGATTCATTCCTTCTCCTTTGATTATGTTCGTTATCCTCCCGATCCTCCCTCCTCCCTCACCCCTCGTCCCTCCTCCTTCCTCCCACGCTTCTCCGTTGCAGGGCCTCGTCATCTTCTTCCCCTTCGCAAGCTTCCTTACCGCCCTCGTTCCTTCTACTCTTTACTGTCCCTCCTACTCTTCATTATCATTGTCGTTCCTTCTACTCGTTTATCGCTGATCCGACTTCTCTGCATATGTTCGTCTTTCCAAGGGCCTTCAAACATCGATTCCTTATGTGTAGGGGCCTCCACATATTGATTCCATGTGTGGAGAGACCTCCACATAATGATTCCATATGTGCAAGAGGCTTCCATAATGATATCTTGTGTGGAGGGTCCTCCCACTCGTTGAATCCTTATGTGGAAAGGGCCTGATTCCTGTTGTGGGGGATCCTCCACATATTGTTTCCTTATGTGGAAGGGATCTCCACATGTTGATTCCGTCTGTGGAGGGACCTCCACATGTTGATTCCTTATGAGCAAGGATCTCCATATTGTATGTGGAGGGAACTCCAACTTGTTCATTCCTTATGTGGAAGGGGCCTTCACATAATGATTCCTTTTGTGAAAGGGCCTGCACATATGGATTCCTTATGTGGACGGGCCTTTTCATGTCGATTCCTTATGTGGAGGGGCCTCCACATATTGATTCCGTCTGTGGAGGGACCTCCACATATTGATTCGTTCTGTGGCGGGCGATCTCCTTTTCCTCCTCCTCCTTCTGCTCCTCCTCCCCCTCCTTCTCTCACTCCGGCGCAGGGGTTGAGGAGAAGAAGGATCAGAAGGAGTAGGAGGAGAAAGATGAGGAGGAGAAAGCTGATATTGTTTCCTTTTGTGGGGGATCCTCCACATATTGATTCCTTATGTGGACGGGACCTCCACATGTTGATTCCGTCTGTGGAGGGACCTCCACATATTGATTCCCTGTGTGCAAGGGGTCTCCATATTGATTTCTTTTGTGGAGGGTCCTCCCACTTGTTGATTCCTTATGTTGGAAGGGGTCTGCACATATTGATTCCTTCTGTGGATGGGCCTTCAAATTATCGATTCCTTAAGTTGAGGGGCCTCCACATGTTCATTCCGTCTGTGGAGGGACCTCCACCAATTGAGTTCTTTTGCGGCGGGCGATTTCCTTTTCCTCCTCCTCCTCCTCCTCCTCCTCGTCCTCCTCCTGCTCCTCCCCCTCCTCCTCCCGCTCTGGCGCAGGGGTTGAGGATAAGAAGGAGCAGAAGGAGTAGGAGGAGAAAGATGAGGAGGAGAAAGATGATATTGTTTCCTTTTGTGGAGGGGCATCCCCCATATTTTTTCCTTATGTGCAAGGGGCCTCGCGCATATTGATTCCTCTTGTGGGGGGGATGCCTCCACATATTGATTCCTCATGTGAAGGGACCTCCACATGTTGATTTCGTCTGTGGAAGGACTTCGACATATTCATTTCTTAGGTCAAAGGGGTCTCCACATGGATTTCTTATGTGGATGGGCCTTCGAATATAGATTCGTTATGTGGAGGGGCCTCCACATATTGAGTTTGTCTGTGGAGGGACCCCCGCATATTGATTCCTTATGTGCAAGGGGTCTCCATATTGATATCTTGTGTGGAGGGGCCTCCAACATCTTGAATCCTTATGTGGGAGGGGCCTTCATAGATGAGTTCCTTATGTGAAGGAGCCTGTACACATTGATTCCTTATGTGGGAGGCCCTTCACAGATCGATCCCTTATGTGGAGGGGCCTCCACATGGATTCCTTGTGTGGAGTAGGAGGAGAAAGATGATGAGGAGGAAGGGTAGGAGGCGGAGGTGGACACGGGGGAAGCGGATTTACATATCGATTCCTTTTGTGGCGGGGCGGGGTACATATAATGGGAGGAGAGGAGAGGAGGAGGAGGAGGAGGAGGAGGAGGAGGAGGAGGAGGAGGAGGAGGAGGAGGAGGAGGAGGAGGAGGGAGGGAGGAGGAGGAGAGAGGAGGAGGAGGAGGAGGAGGAGGAGGAGGAGGAGGAGGAGGAGGAGGAGGAGGAGGAGGAGGAGGAGAGGGAGGAGGAGGAGGAGGAGGAGGAGGAGGAGGAGGAGGAGGAGGAGGAGGAGGAGGAGAGAGAGAGAGAGAGAGAAAAAGAGAGAGAGAGAGAGAGTGTCAAGAGAGGGAGGAGAGAGACAGAGGGAGGAGGAGAGAGAGAGAGGAAGGGAGAGAAGAAGAGGAGAGAGAGAGAGAGAGAGAGTCAAGAGAAGGAGGAGGATATAGAGAGAGAGAGAGAGAGCCAAGAGAGAGAGAGAAGGGGAGAAGAAGAGAGGAGAGATAACGAGAGAAAGAAAAACGGAATTCGGCAGAAAACGGGAGGGAACGTTGAGTCAAGGAGTCGACTAGGCGGAGGAGACGGAGGAGGGTTTTTTTTCTTCCGTTGTTCCTCCTCCCCGCCCTCGGAGGCGGAGTGTTTTCCTTTGTTTCCATGTGAAGACACAGGTTGTTTCCTATTCTTCTGTTTTTTTCATGTGTTTCGCTTTCCCGTTCGGCCCCTTGAGGTTCCCCCGCCGCCCAAGAGGGGGGGCCCGAAAAACATAGGAAAAAAGGAGCAATATTAAAGAAACACTGTGTTTTCACATGGAAACAAAGGAAAACTCCGCCTCCGAGGGCGGGGAGGGGGAAACATGGAAAACACCCTCCTCCGTCTCCTCCGCCGACTCCTCTCCCCCCTACGCCTCCCCCCCCCCCCCTCTGTTAATCTCCATTGGGAAGACGGGGGCGGAGGAAGGAAGGAGATGTGGGTGGGGGGGGGGGGGGGGTAGGCTGGGAGAAGGAGGAGGGTGTCTCTTTTCCGCCTCGGAGGTCGGAGTTCTTTTTCCTTTTTTTTTTCATGTGGAAAACACGAGTTGTTTCAGATGGTGTTTCCCACATGTGTTTCTGCTCCTTCGGCGGCCCCTCAAGGTTGGAAACAAGCCGCCCAGGGGGGAGAGAAAAACAGGAAAAAAGGGAAACATATGAAAAAACTTGTGTTTTCACATGGAAGCAAAGAAACAACTCCGCCTCCGAGGGCGGGGAGGAGGAACAAAAGGAAAACAAAACACCCTCCTCCGTCTCCTCCGCTTACTCCTCCGCTTCCTTCCCCCCCGTCTCCCCAAATGGAGACAACAGACAAGGGCAGGGCGGTTTTTCCTTTTCCACCCCCCCCGCCCTCTGAGGCGAAGTTTTTCCCTTTCTCTGGGAGACGGAGGAGGCGTTGGTTGTTCCTATGTTTCCTCCTCCCCGCCCTCGAAGGGGGAGTGTGTTTCCTTCTTTTCCATGTGAAAACACAAGTTGTTTTTCATATGTTTGCTGTGCTTCCTGTTTTTCGGTCTCCCGTTCGGCCCCCGCGGACACCCTCCTCCGTCTCCTCCGCTTACTCCTCCCCCCCTACTCCTCTCCCCAGAGATGAGGAGAAGGAGGAGGAGGAGGAGGAGGAGGAGGTGGACGATGACGACGACGAGGAAAAAAACTAAATGTATGATCACAGGGGGGGCGACCATATATATATATATATATATATATATATATATATATATACACACACATGCATACAAACATACATACATACATATATATATAATATCCCTCCTCCTGCTCCTCATCATATTTCCTCTTCCCGCAAATTTCCCCTTCCGGTCTTCTCCTCCTCCTTTTTCACCTCGATATCCTCCTCCTCCTCCTCCTCCTCCTCGGTCGGTCGGTTGGAACATCAAAACAGTTAAGTGCGCTGCCTATCCTACGTGCAACGGAACAATATAGGTGGAAGCAAAGAAGAAGAGCTGCGGCAAGGACTGTCACAAAAAGAAAGCAAAGACGAGGGCGAAGGGGGCGAACGACGAGGGGGACTGGAACATGAGTGTGAGGAGGAAGAAAGAGACGAGGACAACGAAGCGGAAAGCAACCAACATGGACAACAAAGGCGCTGCTGACGACGTCGAACATAGCGCGGTGGCAATGGCATGGGGGCCCCGTGCGCCTAGAACAAGCCGCCGAGACAGCATAACCCCCCCGAGCGTACGAGGTCGGGTCGGCTTCGCCGAAGAGCACGGAGCACGATCTTCGAGCGGACGACACCGAGATTAGGAAGCCGCGAGCGTGACCATTCGAAGGTCCGAGCGGATTTCTCGATTCGGAGCTGACCCCTCTCCATGGCGAGCGGATCGAGACAGGGGCGGCGCTGGGGGCATCGCTGGGAGGGTGCAGCGCAGATCCCAAAAATACGCGCGGACCTCCAACGGCTTGTGCTTAAGTAATTGTTTATGATTCGTCTTCTTCTTCGAGTGATCGAGAGGACCAACAGAATGTCACGGGGCACCCCGCTTGCCAGGACCAGCGAAGGGGGCATTGTCGCACAAAGGCCGCGCGTCGAGCCGCTCCGCCAGAAGACGCGCCGCCG